ACTGAACTGTACGATGTCAGTTGTGCCAATGCACACATACACTCCCTTTCCACATTGTTTCCCATGACTCTTAAAATAAAGTTCAAAAGCTCTCTAGCTGCTTAAAAAAATCCTACGTGATATAAAAGCAGTTGGTGCCTACCTTTTCTTTATTTCTTGCGTAAAGTGTTTGTTACACTAAGAAGGTTCCAAATATACTTTATGTGAAATTGAAATAAGCCAAGCATGATTTTATATATGAAAGCTTCTCACTCAGCAAACTTAATGTGACAAACCAACAGACACTCTCCTGTGCTTTCAAGTATGTTTTGATGTATACATCCTACAGTTTTTTAAACATGAAAAATTGCTATATATGAAGTTCTACTGACTTGGAAAATTAAAATCAAGGTCTATCCTTTAAGATAACTGACGTATTTCCTAAAGAAGGAAGTTTTAGGCATAAAACTTGCCTCAAAACCTAGCATTCCTGTGCATGAGCAGCAGAGCTCCGAGACTATATTCACCCAGAGAAATATCCGATTCTTTGCAGGGTAGACATCCATTATTTGTATGTCTTGACACTTAGGCACATTTCCATTCTAAACCACACTACACAGCCTTTTTCTGGTATTTGCAACTTTATAAACATTAAGTAAAAGAAAAGTCTTTACCTTTTAATCTTGTGCTGGTGGCTTTCTGTTTTAGCCTTTACAGAGGAACTCCTGAGGGTCAGCTTCAGTATAATCTGAAAAACATCGTTTTGAATATTTGCCTAAGTGATGTGTCTTGAGTGGCATTCCATTAAGTATTTTCTGCATGCCTTCTGCTTCTAGTTCTTAAATAATTGTCCAAGGGTTCATCTTCAGGAACGGTGGTGTGAGAGAGAAGCTGACTTCTGCAACTACAGTAGACAGGCAAATTGATTACTTTCTACTTGGGGAATCTGGTTCTGCCTGTTTGAAACCCAGCCTTGCTGAGAGGCGGATCGCTGCTGGAGCTGCCCGGTAGCAGGAAGTGTCTAGGAGCAGCTCCCTAGTAGATGGAGGCCTTGTAAGCTGGAAGTGGAGCACTGCCTACCTATGAAGCAAGTGTAAGTGCAGGGATTGCTTTCTTCTACACTGAAGCACAAAGGAAAAAGGAAGCAAGGCTAGGTCATTCATGCATTTATGTGAAAGGGGGAAAAAAAATCCGGCATAATAATACCCTATATCACAGTCAGTACCTTAATAATATTTTGACTCCGTTTATAAGTTTGACCTAAAGGCTGAAGCGGGCAGGGGTGTACAGCAGGAAATGTAAGACCTGTGCAAAACCACTTCAGTTCTTCAGGAGCATAAGGTGGAGACAGCGATTTGGATATGCTACTTTTCCAGATACAGCACCTCAGCTGTATTTTTTTAATACAGTCAGTATTGCAACAGGCGTGCTGTGGAGAAAATGGAAGCTAATTGACCAAAAAGACAAATCTTACACCTTTCAAGGTATTAGAGGTTAAAAATCAGCAGCTACTGCAAGTTATAGGACGTTAGTGTCACACTCTCGCTGAGCTATGCAGCTTACCAACATTTCATTCTGCTTCAGATGTGCTTTGTAGAATGTGCAGTCCAATAACATAGTAAATAGTGCAGCTATTTAATCTTCAGGTGAGAAAGGAATAGGCTGTGGCAACAAACTCCGTGTTCAGAAATATTTTCATCAATTAGATCTAGATGAATTGACAGCACTGCTGAGGAATGCTTTTTGAGACTAAGGGGCAGTGCAGTAGGATTTTCAGACTGTAACAAAGATAGGTTATGTGAACCAAAAAAAAAAAAAAAAAAAAAAGAAGTGGAGGTAATTGTTTCCAGTCTTTTCATTACTTGCCATAGCTTTCTTGAATTTTGTCTCAGTTTTCCCCTGGTTTAGCTTTGGCCCTATTTCATAGCTAAATACTGAGAGGACATTACTTGTTCTAGCTGTTTGGTGAGAAGTAATAGTGCCAGAGTATCATAAGCATATTGAAAATGTCATAGGTTCTGTATATGCATTGAACAACAGGGAATCGCTGCACTAAATCATAGAAAGTACCGTAGAAGTACTCTTTTTGTTGAGAAGTGGGAATGGATTATCGAAGGAGGGGCGGAGAGGAGAGCCTTATGCTCTTTCTAGCTCTGCAGGCAAGTCAGCAAAATTTTGATTATCAATAGGATGTAGGGGGTTTTATGCCCACGATGATGATAAATAAGTGAACCTTTTGGACCACAAACAAACAGTTGAAACTGATGAAGATTGAGAGGGAATGGACATTTGAGACGCTGTCTTTCTATAGTCTCCTTCATAAACTCTTCTTGAAAAGAAAGGTTAGATAATGAATCTTAGTGCATGAGGTTAATGGTGACAAGGAATGTTTTTTTGAGTTGTAGATGCAATACAACTTTTTTTAATGTCTCTTTGAAGCTGAAAACTCTCTTGGGAGTAAATGATGAAGATTGAGAGGGAATGGACATTTGAGACGCTGTCTTTCTATAGTCTCCTTCATAAACTCTTCTTGAAAAGAAAGGTTAGATAATGAATCTTAGTGCATGAGGTTAATGGTGACAAGGAATGTTTTTTTGAGTTGTAGATGCAATACAACTTTTTTTAATGTCTCTTTGAAGCTGAAAACTCTCTTGGGAGTAAAAATTAAGAATTGAGACGGTCATACTGGAATTCTGGAAAATAGGAAGGAATAAGGTCTTAGATCAAACTGAAGCGCTGACAAGTTCTGCTAACTATGGAGTGAATTCTTACCATTGTTCCTTCCCAGCAAGGAGTATGATAAATCCAAAGTACAAGCTTTGGCCTAACATTCCCTAAAAGCCATTTGAGTTAATGATGATGATTTGAGATTTCAGAAGAAAGGCTATGATGTCTGATTCCAAAACCATCTGCAGTTGCGTTCATTGAAGCCAAATATTTGTGATTTTATCCAGAAAGTTGAATTGGAGTTCTCATATAATGGAAGGGTTGCTAAATTTCAGAACAACATTATTTTAGTGGAATTCCTTTATTAGAGAGAGGCAAGTGCAATTTGCAGATGCCCTAATGCTATGCAATACTCCTCTTTGCAGCTTTTGCACTTAGCTTGGATTATTACTGTTGCAGAAAGTGCAAAATAGGATTGCATTGTATACTTATATTCCAAAATAGTCTACACTGGTTTAAAGCAAACAGTACCAGTTTTCATGCTGAAAAATAGTAATTTTGAACAGGAGTAGTCTATTGCTCATAAAATATTATTTAACATCTTTTCATAGTCCTTAGAGTTTTACCATACTAGCTTTTAATTAAAAGCAGGTAATGGGAGAGGAAAGACTATATATCCTATTGTCATGACAAGTTTTTATGGAAGATGGGAACAACTCTTTTTTGACTTGACCTCTTCTGTGAAGTTTTGTTTATTCCTTATAAAAATCTCAGACCTTCAAGAAACATGAATGATTTCCTATGTGTTTCTTTTTGTCATTTTTGTCTGTCTGTTTAAAATATGTATCTTGGATTTCTGTATAAATTTCTCCATTTGTTATTAAAATTTGCTTGTAAGTGAACTCAGAAAATCATTGACCAACATGACTGCAAGTTTACTTTTTTAAGTTTCTTCTTAGGGAATACATCTGCTTGGCTAACACATTCTAAATAGTTAAGTAAACTTACCATGTTAATCCATCCTACTTTCTTGGATGTTGACCAATTTAAATCCACTTTAATCAAGAAATTGAGGTCTCGAGAATAGCCAGGTCCTGTGAGTTTCATGAAAATTATTACTTGGATAGCTGAGAGAAATCCCCATAAGGGAAAAGGTTTTTGCCTTTCTGTGTTCCGTACAGGTTTTGGCAGTTACCCTTGCTTTTTCTTACATGTAGTTTGTGACGTACCTTTTAGGGCTTTAGATCGGAAGCTTTTCCGGTTTCATTTCGTATATAGAGGAGTTTTTAGTGAAACATTAAAAAATTAGTCCTGATAAAAGGAAGTAACTTTCATTTCCGTGGTTAGAACGTGGTATCACCAGGAGTTTGCTGAGGTGAAGAACTTAAGCGTTTAGGATGTTTATAATTCTGGACAGCCCTCTTATCTCTGTAGTAGTTATTGGTAACAGTGTTGAAAGGAACATAACAGCTTCTGCTTCAGGGTGTACATCCATATTAAAGTGTGAAATAATGAATAATGTTCTTTGGGTGGTAAATCAGATGTGTTTTGTGCCTTTTAAAAAACACACGTTATTGGATGCAGTGTTGGATGCAGTTACAGAGTATATGGAAGACAAATCTAATCAAGAACAACACTCCCCCAAAAACTTAAGATGTTTATCTTCTGCAGTTCTCTTTGCTACCATATCTTTAAGAAATAAGACAATGATGGCACTTCATCTTACAGAATACTTATTTTGTAAACTATGTGTTTCATACACCTTTTTTTTTTTTTGCTTCCCTGTAATAATAAAGTGTGTTTTTTAGAGCTATTCATGCAAGTTCCTCCCTCCGAGCTTTAAGTTTTACTTACGAAGACCAGGTTCAAAACATTACATATCAAATTGTTTGGCATCAAGAGAGAAATTCTGGATAGTAGGCAGACCTGAGATGATCATGAAGCAGTATTGTGTGGAGAAATGCACATGGTTTGAGAAGTTGCAAAGTTCTGAACTTTGATCCATAGGCTCCAACAGATTATAGTGCATAGCTTTAGATGTAGAATTGTACGGTCTTTTACAGCTAAGAAGATGGATGTAAAATATAATTGCTTTGTCTATTAATAATTATTAAATAATTACTAAGCACCTTAGTAATTATTTAATGTTAGTATCTGCTGAAAATAGTGCATGGACTAACATGTTTATTAAGTAGAAAGAACAATTAAGAATTAAAGCTGAAACAAGGCATTTTCTCTTCACTTTCTCCTTCTTCCCCTTCTTCTTCCTACTTTTGTCAAAAACTTAGCTTTTGGAGATCTGAGAATCTCTCTTGCGTCAGGGTGCTAAGTGTTTCTTTTGATCTTTTCTTTAGGCTGGCAAATAAGCAGGACAGAGAAGGAGCTCTGTCAGAAGCAGATGTAATCGAGTCCTTATCTCTGGAAAAGCTTGTCAATGAACACAAATGTCTATGTCAGATTGTAAGTATATTTTAAGATGCTTCATTTTCCAATATATACGTAAAGCTTGCAATAAGGTAGGAGATTGTGCCACATAGCATAAAACTGAAACTAAATCCCTGCAATCCCGGCAAAGATACAGTACACATATCTGTTCTGCAAGCAATTCTACTGTTCACCTTGACGTTCTGCTTCTGGATCTGTTGAAGAAATCTTTGTAACAAGGATCCTCAAAGCGTACCTGCTGCTCCATTCTGAAATCATGTAAGAATAATTAGTTACTGACGTGGTTTAAAACTTGTTTAATTGGATAGCAAGTTTAGCATTCCACCTTTTTAAAAAGAAGCAGGAAATAGAATTTACCTACGTTGATGTTCAGGAAGGATCACTGTTCAGATACGATGTTTTTCTCATTTCTGTTGTAGCTAAAACCATCATTTAGTCTGAGTCACTATCTGGCAAACAGTAAGAACTTTAATCTAATTTTAGGGCATCTAATTCCCAGCACAGTAGTCATCAAAGAACACTGTTAAAGCTAGTTGCTAGTTAATATTTGTCCAGATAATTTATCCAAATCAGTAGTCCCTCAAGTTTTCTACACGCCTTTGTTTTAATCAACCAGTTTGTTAGTTAACTATTTGTGGGATTTACTTTTATAATTTTTCTAATTTGTTTTAATCAACCAGTTTGTTAGTTAACTATTTGTGGGATTTACTTTTATAATCTTTTTCTAATTGCAATAAGAAACATTTTAAAAGATAGAGTTTTGCTGTTAGTGACCAACATTAGAAGGCAGTTTTACAAAACCATTCCAGCTGATATTTGGGTTTTAAAATTTAAAAAAAACTTTTAATTCCCTCCGGAGAGGTGCAAAATTCATAGGGTAATACATATTGCTATTATTTTCTCTAGAAAGTTGAGTTATAGCAGGGCATAGCTATGTTCATTACATCATGAGTCTTTGAGTGCTTTTCTTCAGTCAGTGGACTTTGCACTGTGCATATGTAGCAATCATAAAAATAAAACTTGCGAGTTCGCCCTTTTTTTCCCAAGGGATGTCTGTGACAAAAATATTTTCTTGCAAAGCATTATCAATATAAAAGACCTGAAAGATTCTAGTGTATTTTTCCTATAGTTTAGAATTACTCAATTTATGACATATTCCAGTAAAATGCTGTTCTTGTTCTCCATTTATATCTTGGGTGTAATCAACAAAGAAACTAGATCACATACTCTTAAGTCATTTTAGCTGAAAGCAGCTGAGAGTCTTACATACTCAAATGGGCAGCTTCTTTCCTAGGCTCATTAAAGGTAAACATGGTCCCAAGTTATTTCAATGTGATGACTCATGGGGTGAATTTAAACTGGGGCGTTGTGAAACAAGATTTAAATAAAATTAGGCAAGGACCAAAAAAACACTTGTTTCTTCTTATTCTTTTAATTAGTTTTCTCCTGGATCTTTAAATTTCCCCACAAAATATTAAAGCAAATGGAAGGAGTCATTCGTCTCACTGTCACACAGTGTCAGTGAGAATGACCTTCCTCTTTTTCTAATATGTCTGTATATTCTATATTTCTAAATTTCTATATTTTGTAACTGAACTACAGCAAGAATAATCTTGGTGCAAACCGAGAAGAAAATTGCCCCAGTGCTGTCTATTGTTTTATTTTAGTTTTCTCAGAGAGACAAGGTGTTATTGCCTATACATCTTCTCCCTGATTAGGTTCTGCTAGAGAGTATTGTAGTGTTCCATAGTGACCAACACTCAGATTTGAACCTTAATTTAGACAAAGTAGGAATGTATTAAAACGCAAAGTGGGTTTGGCACTCTGGGGGCACATAACAGGTCAGAATTATTTTTTTCTGTTGTAAGTCGTACATACCGTATCTGACTCTGGTGCCATTTAAATGCTTCTCAAATGAAGAGGTTACACAGAGAATTTTTTAGGTGTTGACATTGGAGAGTTAGTCTTTTTTAATCTTCCTTCATTCATGAACACAAATCCTGAACACAATCAGTGTGAAATATCATTTCTTCATGTCAAATACATAGCTGGATCTATTCAATTATTATTCAGAGAACAGTTTTAAAGACCAATACAGTGCTCCAAAATATTCTGGAAAATAGTTCTGAAGAGATCTTGAGAGGTCATCTAGTCCTTTTCCATGTTCTAAACTAGAATCAAGCCATATCTCTTTTGTTCCAATTAAAGCCCATTATGCTTGTCCTCTTGACAATGAACGTGAAGAGCAAATTATTCTTTTCCTATTTGCAGAGTTATGCCTTATGTTTTTGAAGGCTATTATCATATCTCCTTGAAGCTTTTTCATCTCAAGAGAACCACTCCTGTTCCTTCAATGTTTTCTTACCAGATGTGTTCTCATAACCAATTTTGCCTTTTCTCAATTTGCTCCCCTTGATTCCTTCCAGTCAATCCACTTCCTTGAATTGTTGCATCCAAGCTAGATAGTGTTCCAAACTAATTTAGCAACAGGGTTTGCACCCATCTTCCAATAGATTTGCCTAGATCATGTTTCTCTTGCTTGCTGGTGAGAATATCATTACAAAAGTTTTACTCCAATCAAGATGCGTAATATTTTGCTTCACCCCTATCCACAATACCTGTTCTGATCTAAAAAATTGAATTGGCTTGACAGTTTTTCTGACAAATTCACACTGGATTTTATTTATCCCCTAGGTGCTTATGAACAAGTCGAACATTTCTTTCATGAACTGAAGCTAAGTTGATTCTCTTGCATCTCATTTTTTCCACTTTACTAGATAAATATAACATGGACTGTTTATAAACGAGCAGCAAAACACAACATACGTATTTGGGGTTGATAAATTATATTCCTATATAGATGCATAGATATGGATGTGTATAGAAACAGATGTGTAAATATACATATATACATATAGCAGGTGTATATGTAACAGCTGTGTCTATACCTAACAGGTGTATATAGACGCCTAGAAATAGACATGCAAACACGTTTTTCTGTGCAGTATTCTAGTATTTTTGAAATGGGACTGGAAATAATGGAATTTGGTAGTACTAATGTGACTTGTAACTCGGCAAAAAAAGCACCTAAATTTATAGAATACCTAAATGCAAATTTATTTCCCATACTTCTCAGTGTTTTGCAGGCTTCACAGTAAACAGTAATTGTTTGCCTGATTGCTTGTTTTCAGTCAAGGAATGTGATCTGAACTGCAAGTAATTTTCCCCTCCTTCTTATATTTACAGGAACCTTGCTCAGCTATCATGGGCTGTGGGAAAAAAATTGATAAATCAATAAAAAAGGGTTTATATTGGCTTCTACATATCATAGCAAAAGATTTTGATGCCTTAAATGAGCGCATCCAAAGAGACACTACAGAACAAAAAGCATATGAAGAACAAAAGAAACTAGAACGAGCTGAGCGAGTGAGAAGGATACGAGAAGAAAGGTATTCTCTCTGTAGTTTCTCCTACCTCCCCTTCCGCTCTTTCTCTAAGATACTTGATTCATTCCTGCACATAGACCTTATGGGAACCAAGCTATCAAGGATTTAAAGCTTACAAGCCAAGAGTCTTCGTATGAGAAGTACGGACCTGAATACTAGAGCCTTTCTTTAAGACCTACAAGTTTTTGCCCGGTTCATCCCCTTTATTTTATTTGCTCTATGCTGGATATGTACCGTGAATGGGAATTGCAGGGTAGTTGTGGAATAAATTTGGCCTTGCTAATGTAACTTCACAGGAGGCTAACCTAAAAAATAAATCCTTTAATTTAATCTTGTTACCTTCAAGTGTGTTCTAAAATAAACTTTTATTAATTTAAGTTAGGCTTTGTAACCCATATGTGAATATCAAAGACTAGATGTGAAACTTTATTCAACACTATGCTTAATAAACTTCAGGATATCCAGCAGGTGAGGCATGGAGAGACTTAAGATGATGCAGAGAGGGGAAGCAGGACAAGTGATTTATTATTTCCCTTCAAAGCCCTTTGTAGTCATCAGCAGCCCACCATGGTTCCTATTAGAGACTGATGTGAATCATTTTACTGGGGCATTCTTAAAAAATTCGCTGAGCAGCCCTGTCCCCCCGTCTGCCCTATATATGCAGAGATTTGCAAGTCTCAGTTACTGTGAGAAGTAACTGTGAAGCTACTGTGAAGTGTCTTGGCTTGTACTCTTGCTGATTTGGTTTACTTCAGCAAGTAAATTACTTAAGCACATTTTAAACACCTGGAATTTGACACAATCTTCATACATACTTCACAAACCTATAAAAAAATTCATATGCTGTTAGTCTGCCAGATGTATCTGCATAGACAAAACCCTCTGACCATGTTGGATTGTGTTGGGTTTATGCCACGTTGGGAGGTGTAGCGGGGAGGACTGACTTTGAAACACGTCTCAAAGAGATTGTCTGATGGTATGGGCATTTTCCATATATTCTGTTCCCACTCAGTGATCTTGATTGTATTTGTTCACTGGAAGAATTGTTTGGGTTTGAATTGGATTAAAGGCTTAAAAGTTTTCCTAAACTTCTTGTGTCTTAGAGGAAAGCTAACTAGTAACTTCTGCTGGTTTTACCTGTAGCTGAGGGCTTGTCTCAGATATAAGAGATGGCATTAACTCTCATTTTGCTGGTTTGCATCAAATCAATTTCTTACTGTAAGAAACAGGTTAATCCTGATTCAAGTGTAATTCTGTTTCATTCTGTGTTTTAATAATTCCCCAGACTGCTTTTTGTTTAGACTTGCTTCCCTGCATGTTTTCTCAAAGTGCGTTTCCTCCACAATATGTTAGTAGCACTCGTCTTGTTCCAAATGGAAAACCAGAGAGAGAGGTAGTGCCGATAAGTTTTAACATAGCACTGGCCGTTCCTTCCAAGTAGTATGGCTTCATAGGTAGATCGGTACCTCCTTGTCATTCCCATCTGTGCCTCTGAACAAAGGGGTTACTTCCTCTCTCAGTACTGGCAGCTGTAAAGTAGGTGTAACAGAGACTTCCTATGCGCAAATACCATCAGATCGATTGATGAAAAGTATTTGATGAGCATATACTTTATTAATGATGTATTATTTAATACATAGTAATTTAATATTTCTTACATAGAGATCTGGTACGTAAAAAAATAACTAGGGCTGGTGCAGCAACAGTACACTGAGCATTATGTGTCTTTCTGAACTTTTCTGAGTCTAGTTGAAGCAAATATGATTCCCTGTTACTACATAAACTGAACAGTGTGGCACCAGTTCTCCCTTAAGTATATTAAGAAGAATCTAGAATTATGAGAAATGGAGGTATATTAAAAATAGAATAGGTTTTAGATAGTCTGGTTTCCCACCACATAGTTTTTTTTTTTTTAGACAATTGAATGCCTTGAAACAATCGTTATAAAAGATGACCAGTGTGAAAATTTCAGCATACTGTTGAACAATCAAAACCTTCCAGTTACAGATGTATTCTGTTACATATCCTGTCCTCAGAAACTGCTTCTACTTCCTGAAGTGCTGATTGAACATTCAGGCACATAGCAGCATGTGTTGCTACCTCTGCCATAACATATACTTGTGCTTTATTGATGTTAGCCTGTCATTGTGATTTCTGTAGAATGTTTTTCAAAATACAGAAGCATGTTGTAAAAATCAGCTGGCGTAAATTGGAGGATGGGTTAGATGACCTATTTAAGTGTTCTCTATTATGTAAAATTTATGGCTTGGCTTCTTCATAATTCTTTTTTTCCTCCCCCCCTCTTTCCCCTCCCCCCCGCCCAAAAAAAACCCCACCCAAACCCCAAAACACTAAAACAACAACATAAACCAAACAACAACAATGAAGGGAAAGAGAAGAAGGAAGAAGTGTACCTGATGAGGAAGACCCTGAGCCTGGGAACTCTGAAAACCCCTTCCAGCCTATATCTGCTGTAATCTCTGAGGTATGAGAATATGTGGAAATCTGGATCGTTTTAGACCTACTACTAACAAATGTCTGAGAGGTAATGAGAAAAATAGTTCATTTAAAAGAATTGTTCTAAGTCTGTATGCACCGCATTATTTTATTTTATTTATTTTAATCTTGGCAGTCTTGTTTTGTGTGCATTGAAGCAATGCTTTCATGTTAAGAAAATCCCCTATTATTGATTGGGGGACAAAAAGTTTTGTAGACACAGTAAAATAAAGGTGTTGTAAACAGATGACTGAACACATTTCCTAATTAAACTATTGAATGCTCAGGAGTGGAAAATATTCAAGGTCTATTAGTTTCTTGTAAAGTGTTTTAGTGATGTAGTGAGTCATAGAAAATCTCCCTGACTGCTTCAACTATTTAGATTTCTGAGCATAACCTGTTTTCTGTTGAAAACTGAGACAATTGAGAAGTTTTCTTAGCTTTGAAATACGAAAAGCATATTAATATATTAAGTTTCCTTAACCTGTCTTTCTGAGTTCAGGTAGTTCTTATTTATTGTACCATATTTTTTAATTCCGTTAACTTGAGATAACATAATCTCAAGAAACACATAAACTCTCAGAGACTTTTCTAGTAAGTAATTCAAACATGTGCTTCTCTCCAGGACAAAAGCGCCCTTATCCATATATCTTGTAAAGTCAGCTACATGCGCAATAATATGCTTTGTAATAACATACAGAGTAAGAAGAGAAGGGTATATTTGTGAGTATTGCAGAGACAGAGATTTAGTGATAGGGAACCTGTGAAACAGCCTATCGTTGAGTCTGTATGACACAATTGGTATTTGACCAAATCATTCTAGCACTTTCTGGATACTTAAACTCTGTGCATGTGTATTTTGTTTTAACTAAAACATTAAAAAAAGAAGAGGAAGAAATGAGGAGTTTTCTAACCTTTTGCTCAGGACTGTTGATGTTGTTTATATAGCTAGCATTTTTTTTGTCATATGACCAAAAAGAAAGCAAGAAAACAGGCTATATACCTAAAGATCATTTCTTTCACTGTTAATCCCTTTTTCCCTGCCCCCCCCCTTTCCTTTAGACAGGATATTGGAAATTTAATTTCTTCACCTATTTGAAAATATTTTCTATGCTAGATGTGGGACAGAAAAATATTTTAGGAATATTTTGATTTTTAAAATAACCTTCCTGTCTTATTAGTCAGTGTACAGCATTAGAAGTTGTTAAAAAAAGTTCTTACACTTTTTGTTAGAATGAAAAACAAATTGAAAAGGAAAAGAAGCGTCAAAGGTTGGATACTGAAAAGGCTACGATCGTCTTGAAATCGCAAACAGAGCAGGAACAAATGGATGCCCAGCACTTATCAAGTAGCAGTAGCCAAAATACAAATGATAGTAGACTAGAAACATGCAATTCTACAACTACACAGCTTTTACAGCATGAAGAAGAGAATGAGCAGCAAGCCTCAGAATGCCTTGATTCAGGTAAAACTGCTTCCTTTTGATGTGTCATTTAATGTTATTTTTCACATAGTTCTTCCTCTGTCTGTATTATTTTTCATGATACCACGCGTCAATTTAATCTATTGAAAACATAAAAATGGACCATTAGATTATCGTATTGGAAAATCTGCTTCGAAAAAGTGCGTGTTTGTTGGTGTGACTGATACTGTAGCTGAAACTAGGTTCATTTTTATCATAATCATAATTATTAATTATGATTAATAATAATAATTATTATTAATATCATAATCATAATTATAGAGTTTGCATATATTTTATGCTTACAGTTTATTTTCTACAGCAAAATGTTGTGTAAGTTTTACATTTCACATAATTTTGTGTTTAAGTTTTCAGTTAAGGACTGAAAACGAGAATGTATCTCACCCCAACAACTGTATTAAAAGATGATCTAAGAGATTCTCTGAATATAACTGTATGATATGTAATGCTTTATTTCTGTTTGGTATAGATAACAGTAAGAAAAAAAATAAAAAACCAAAATTAAAAAGGGGCCATAGAGTAGAACCTATTAATGCAGAGGACAGTGTTCCCAAAAATCCTACACCACCACCAGCTCTTCCACCAGGTAAGTGTACTAACAAACAATAATTGATGTCTCAATTTGTGGTTATTAATCCTTTAAAATACTCATTTGTGAATGATGAAACTGGAATGGTGTCCATACAGAGATATGCTACTAAACCTTACTCTCTAGGAAATCTTTGATGCAGTTTCCCACTTCATGGTATGAACTTTCAGCAGTATTGATTTGATCTATTCCATGGGGGAAGATACTATTTTCACAAAAAAGAGTCAGAAACTTGACTACTCACCGATGAAAAAGTGATTAAAAATGTCAATATTTCTAAGGGTAAATCAGTTTATTTTCAAAGTATTTCACCATTATTCACCATATATACAATATAATACATACTTTTGGCATTTCTAAATGCTTTGATTTCTCCCAAAGAGAACTGTCTTCAGTACATTTCATCAGAATCAAGTGCAGTGGTGGCATGTTTTGACTGTGTCTGTTTTCCTTTAGTTGGCTGGGGAACTCCCAAACTTAATAGACTTCGAAAACTTGAGCCTCTTGGTGAAACACATCATGCTGGTAATTGAAAATATTTTGGGTTTTGTACTGTTTTAAAGCATTGTCCATTGTTCATTCACTTCTACATTCATTTCATTCTTCATTTTTTTTTAATTTCTTAATGCCGATGTTTGTTGATGGAAAGCTAACCCTTTTGCTTAGTAGAAAGCATCTTTTTGATTTTTCAAGTCTTATTTCTTTTTTTACCAAAAAGAATAAGTTCTCATAGATTCCCTTATGAAGTTTAAAGTGGCACGGGATATCAGAAGCTATTAATGATCTGAAGTTATTTGCACAGCAGCATGCACCTAGATATTATAATATGCCATATAACAAAGGGTAACAGGAGCAGTTACTTTGAGTTCAAACACATACTGCGTTCAAAATAAAAGTTTCAGAGTTTATTTCTATTGTCCATATGTAGACAGTTCATCACTATCTGATACAATGGGGACAGGAGTTGGGTTACCTGGATACTGGAAGAAGTCTGAGGTACTCAGCAGAGAGGATACTTCGGAAACACCTAAGCAGGACTGCAGAGATCCAGCAGGGCTTATTAATTTGGGATCCATAGCGGCTCTTCCACATCCAGGCTGGTTCTGCACTAAGCTGCCTGTTTGTTTCCGCACTGATCTTATGATCTGATCTGGAAGTGCTAATCGCTTCACAATACTGAACCCAAGTGGGCCCCATGCATTTCTGTAGTTCTGTGAACTGTGAACTACAGCTCACCTCCAGATTAATTTGCTGCGTGCAAGCTGACTCCTTGTGTTGCCTCTTGAGATAGTCTAAAATTTCTTCTATCCGCTGCTACTGTTTCCATATGGTTTTAAAAGCATAGTCTGTAAGATTTTTGTCATTGGTTTGGGGGTGTTTTCTTGTGAGAAGGAAAGCTAAAGACATGTGGGCACCTCTGAATTAAGTGCATTATGTTAGCAACTCCAAATAAGGGACTGCAATCCCAGCCATGATGAAAAGCCCAACATAAATTTGATTGCAGAAGTAGTGAGACTTCCAACTGAAAACTAGGTTGTTGGTCTGCAAGGAGAGGTGTCAGTAATAAAGCTTGGGATCTGCTGCTTTGCCTGAAGAGCCGGTGTCCCTGAAAGCTCACAAACTGATAGGAGAAATAAGTTTAATAACTGGAAATGTCAAGGTGTAGTAGGCAGATTCTTGACTTCTTTTTTCAATAATGACTATTTTCTATTTTTGGAAGACCATGGAAGATTGTTTTTCATACGCTCATATTGCCTCTTTTTCTCAGTTTTAGATGATAATTTCTTCATTTTTCTTACATTTTTGTTTTTCAAATTTTGAAAAGCCAAGTGGAGACACCTGGAGTAATATGAGAGGGGGACAATCAAACTAAAGCAATGGGAACACTTATACAAATTGAACAAAGAAAACATGAATTGAGGAACTTGCAGAGAAAGGAGCTCAGTGTTGCTGTAGAGATCCTTGAGCCATAACTCTGACTTGAACTGATTGTACTACTATCATGTAGTACAGCACCATGTGGACATACCTGCTGAAGTTCTGAAGCAACAGAACATGGAGCTTCTCTGCCAAAGAATCAAAAGATGCCTAAAGGGGAATTAAGATCTCTAAAAACTAGATATTTATTTTCACAGGAGCATAATTCATGTGCATAAAATGTAATTTGTGGTCTTAATCATAAAACCATCTTGCTCTCTTTTTTTAAAGGCATAGAGAGAGAAGGCGGAAAGAAAAGCCAGATGAAGAGGTAGGGAGGGGAAGAAAGGGAAGGAGTGATACTCAATTTTTGTCTGTGCTGAAGGGAGGTGTTGCATTTTGTAGCAAGAGCATGGGTAGGGCAAAGAGGAAAAAAACTGCTTCAGCTAAGTTCCCTACTCACAGGTGTGTAAGTTAGTAACCTGAGATCTGTGTTAATTTAGTCCATTTGTAAAATAAGGATAATAATTAAAGTGTTTTGGAATCTAACAGTGGAAAAGATGTTGGTAGGGTAACGATCTCTTGACTGGAGGTGTAACCATTGAGATCAGAGGAAACTTGGAGTGCTCAGAACTTTGCAGCTGAATTCAAGACATTGCGTGCTCTTCACTGAGATTTGGGTTTTTTTAGGAATTTTGAGACACTCGCAAGATTCACACAGACACAGAAAATCCTGAGAAAGCAAGAAAACATCTATTAGGAAAGCACTATTTATAAATGAAAAAAAGCTCTTCAAACACATGGTCCAGCATTGTCAAAACTTTAGGTCCTGATATCGAAGACCATCAATTACTTATTTTGGTTAAAGCAGTTGTTTTTTACTCAGACCATTTGAGAGCCATAGAATCATTTAAGGTTGGAAAGGACCCTTAAGATCATTGAGTTCAACCATTAACCTAACACTACCAAGTCCATCTTGCACTGATTTTAGCTTGCCCTCTGTCCTTGCCCGTTTTCTGTCACGCAACAGTGTTTTTCAATGAGTTTTTACATATTTTGCAGACGGACAACCTGCTCCTGCTTGGAAACTCATTCGAGTTTTCCAAAGAGCAGTGGAGCCTACCTTTGATCCATTTTTTAGAATATTCCCTGAATTGCATCTTTCTGAAAACCAACTTCTTTTTGGCTGTCCCTTCAGCAGAGAAATAAATCAATTTTGATTTTTTTTCCCCCCCCCCCCCCAGCTTTGCCCAAAATTCACTGTAAAGGTGGTTTTAAAAGTTTTTTAGCCATTCAACCTTTGTGAAATAAAAAGGCCTGGTTTCCTTATTGTTTTCATGATTAATTGATATAAATGTCTTGAAGACGCTATTTGCAGTGCAAGTGTAAAGTTTTTTGTTTTGGTTTGGGTTTTTATTTCCTTTAGCTGGGACTTTCGTAAGACTTTCTTTTCTGTGGGTTTTTTGGATTCTCTGAAGTGCACTGTTTTTTATAGCAATACTGCATTCTGTTGAACAATTTGCTTTGACAAACTGTTATTGGCCAAGTGGCTGAAAAGTCTTTGTATACGGGGCAAATGAGCACCTACCTTCATGTAGACCAGGCTGTAAAACCTCAATTCCAGTAGGATGCCCAGCAGATGCTTTTGTCAGGACTCCAGGTAAAATTTAGAGCATAATTTGCTCTCCATAAGAGCAAGGAAATAAAAAAGTGTTTAACAGTCTGCTTTTAAAAGTTTAAGGAGCCTTGGTTATGCATAGAGGTTATTTTCAGGAGCACTCGCAAAATCCACGTCCAAGGGTATATCAATGAAACGTGATAGCTCCTCAACGTAAGTCAAGAAACCCCCTTAAGCTTCAAAACAGACAGGACTTTTTGTAGTGTTGATTTTTGCTAGTCCGTGGAAAAACACAGGAACAGGTGTTTCTCATGCATTCTAGTACAGGCCTTTGTCAGTTAGGGTAGCAGTTATTCCTTTGTTTTTGTCTTAAAAATTATTTTTTTGAAAGTGTCACAGATATGTGGTAGACCTTGCTGCTGAAATATATAAAATTAGTGCAGTGTGAGGTTGAAACAACCTCCAAAAGTCTGAGAACACCTAGCATTAAAAACCAGAGACATAAATCTGTCTTAATGATTTAATGTGCAAACTGAGAAATTTAAGTGCTAGTGAGCAGGCTATTTAGTATATATATTGAGTCATTTTTGTGTCATTTTTAGAAGAGAACATTATGTCGGATGTTTAGGCAGAGTTAACAGGCAGTAGAGTCAATTATATAAATCTTTAATTATACAGTTATTTTCACTAAAGACTGCAATTTTTCCAGTCTTGCTAATGATTCTAGCACAACACTAGGTAATGAGTGTCTATTTATTGCCACTGGAGGATACATTTGCAAGAGTGATAAAACCTCTCTCATTATAGGAGGTAAAATTGCCTGCCAGTCCTAAAGTTGTTTGCCAGACCTCAAGAAACTGACTAATAAAAACATCCGTTGTACAGGTTTTCATTTACCCTATAATCATTTGTTGCAGTTTTGTTGCTTTTCACGTGCTGCTGTAACACTGAATTAGCTCTATTAAAATCAAAGAATTTACAACAATAATATAAAAGTGTTATTATTTTACTGATTAAATGTAAGGATAACTAAAACCTTGATCCTACAGACATGTACACATATTCTTAGAGTAACGTAAACCAACTTTCTTGCTTTTGTTAATTTTAGCTCAGGAATGCAATTTTAACGCAAGTTATTGCGTATGTAGAACAAGTGGAATATATTTTTCTTGGAAAATTATGATTTATTAAAGCTGAATTTTCTGTTGACAGGCCATCAAGGCTTTGTTGGGGAGGAGGTTGTCTGTGTAAATGAAATTGAGATTTGAATGCTTCAAAAAGCTGCTTTTATTTTTTTCTTGATTTCTACCTGTTTCCTCTTACCGTCTTTCACGGTACTATTTCGCTTGTGAAATGCTTTGCATGTACCAGTCGGCATGTTTTTTTTTTCTTTTATATCAACTACAAATGTTTGAGAAAACTTGTTTTTCTCTTCTGGTGTACTTAATAACTTTGTCTTGAACAATTGTACTACTTTAAACTCCTTTATTGACAAAAGGAAATGTTGCATTTTTACCTAAAAATTCTTAATATAGTTCTTTTAGAAAGTTAGTATGGCTTTCAAGATAGATGCCATGGGTAAATGGTCCCAAAATTTTGAAGCTGCATAGCATTGCTGTCACTTAAAACTTATTGCAGTGCAGACGTGACTACAGCAACACTCAAATTTTGATACTTCATTTTTTCAATTGTTATTTGTACACTTTTGATGTCTCATTTCCTATTTTTAGGGATGTTTACAGATTACCTTTGGGCTTGATCCTGCAAATGCTGATGCATGTATAACAAAATGTAATTAAACCCTGTTTTGGCCAATACACCTCCAGACATTAATTAGCACTATGCCTGAAAGTTGCTTGTAGGAATTGGCTCTGAAGTTGTAGGCTACCTAGCTTTCATTAAGGAAGCAAGAATTTACCTTATTTAAACAGCCTTTAAGCAAGGAAGATGGTAAATAACAGATTAATGTGTTTTTCTTCTCTGGCATTTCTTACACAGATTTCTATGGAAAGCCTCTGCCCCCGCTGACTATACGCCAAAGACCCAACAGTGATACCCATGATGTCATTGCTTAACTGGATCACAAATGGCATTTTAAAAACATTATAAAAAAATTATATCAGAAACGTTTTTTGCCCTTGAAGGAAAATTTTTAAAATGACAGTCTTTCAGCTTGTTGCAAAATGACTTGGTGACAATTAAACATGGAGTTCATTCTGTCGTACTTAGTTGATCAGACTTTGTCATTTACTTTTCACGTCACCAGCTCTTCTTCAGGATTTAGCATGAGATCAAGAAAGGTCTGTGTGTCCATGGATGCTCTCATGAACATGGTATTGAATATTTATTGGGTTTACTTGTGAAAATACATAGCTGTAAACCTGAAGAAAAATACCTTCAAGATCACGTAATACTGGATTGTATGTTCTCACCAAGACCTTTCTCCAGGTGCTGCGCAGTGCTTGGTATTTTTGCAGCTAATAAATGGTTCTAAAGCATTTTGTAACATTCATGTATGATAGAGTGAATATAGGAAGGTTATGCAACAAATATTGAGTATATTTTTCTAACTTTTTATAAAATTATTTGAAAGTTTGAGTGGACACGCATACCTACTACCAAAAAATTGGACACGCATACATACTACAAAAAAATGAAACCTAGAAAGCATTAGAAAGCTGATAGTCAAATGCATACAAGTAGAGTATGTTTGACTCTTAAGTTTCTCTTACAGTAGCAATACCTCTTATTAGAGATTACATTACCAGATGCTTATTTCATATTTCTGGCAATCTGAAGGGGGAGGAGCTAGAAAGGGAAGTTTAAGATAAATACATTTTATACAAAATTTTGCTATTTGAATTGTCTGAAAGTTTTTTTTATGTGTTGTTTTCTTTGTTTTGTTAACTGAGTTTGGCATAGGTAAAAAATGCTGTTGGAAAAATAGAGCTGAACATTATATTGTCTAATACGTCATACAAGAAAATTGCACATAGTGAAAGTTTTGCACTAATTCAGTCACCAATTCTGATGGAAAACTGAACCAACCAGTATGCATATAAGCTCCAGCACTTTTTAATCTCGATAATACTAAAATACCATCTTGAAAACAAGAGAAACTCCAGATTTTTAAGGACTTGTATAGTATTTCCATGTAATGTGTTAATTTTTACATTAAAAAAAAATCACAAGTGATACATAAGCAACAAGGGTTACAATTGGATATATTTCTTTTTAAATGTTCTGTATATGCTGTTCTTCTTACGTTGGAGACAACCATTGGTATATTGTGTAAAGGTATATCGTTATGCCACTTAATTACAGCAAGGATGAAACCCCCATTCAGAGTTTTTTTGAAGCAGCATTACTTGATGATTTTCTATTACACTCTCAGTCTTCCATAACGTGTTATTACCAAAAGATTTTAGATGTTAAAACAATGCAATGTGTATATTCAGCATTTTGACATTAGAAATCTTTCCCACATACCCCTTACAGCAATGAGTTACACGAATAAATATCTACCATATTAATCAAAATGAAATTATTCACTAAGATTTTTAAAGGGTATGTTTGAGTGTGTGTGTGGGGGGATCAGTCTTAAGAGTATTAACTTTGGAATGGGTGGAGAGGAATATTCCAAGTTTGTTAGTTTAGTGTAAGGAAGAAACAATTTGTATGTGACTCTCAGCATGAGAATGCTTTTGTTGTATTCTGATAGTGCAACATGGTTTAGTTTGATTATTCTCAGGATTTAGTCATTTTCACTTCAAACAAACACAATATTAAGGGGGGGGGGGTGTTGCATAAATGTTTACTTGTGCAATCTCAATCTTACTATCTTTAGCTATGTTACCACTTAAATTTTTTGGCTTAAAGGCTCTAAATTTGCAGGCTTATTTTTTTACAGCTTCAGTTTCTAGAAACATATAACCCTTTTATTTTGACGCTAATCTAAAATAAATCAAAGGAAGTCTTTATTAAAAAGAAAGCTAAATAGTGCTGTGGAAACAAAATTTGAGAAACTGAAATGGAAGATGTTGATACTTACATGTGAAATGTGTGTTATGCGTGTTGTGTGTGTGGACACATGTATCAGTCTTGTTTCTGCATTTAAAATAAATTTTACCGATATGTGACCAAAGTACTAAAAAATGTTTCTTACAGTTTTGTTTATTAATATGCTCTGTAATTATTTACTACAGTAGTTTTTTTCAGTAATTTATACTACCTTGACTTCTTATTTGCTCAAGATGACATTTATGTATACAATAAAACTAATGCGCAGCATCAACATGTTTCCCATATTATCATAAATGTACAATTTTTTGGAAGCAAGTATAGTCATAGATGTTTAATGGCTGCAATCTCATTTACATTGCTAAAATGTACAAAATAGAGACCTTACAGACAGAATCTTTGCATATTTTTACAAATGCAATGTGATCAAATTTAGAATATATTGATAGATTGTCACTAAGTTATGTATATATGTATACTTATAAAGTGCTTTGGTAGTGCCCTTAATATTTGAGAGGCAATAAGTTGCACAGTTGTAAGTTGAGAGGTAATAATTATTGCACAAATTAGAAGATTTCGCCAGGTTCTGATGCTTTGCGTTGTCAATAACATCTCTTTCAAAATGTATCAGTGCATTCAGCTAAGAGTATTTGTACTTAAATACGTGAGTGGTAAGTACACAGAAATATGCTACATAAGGAGAACGTTTTGCATTATCTAGGTGCAACATTTTAAATACATTTTAGACAAAATATTTTAAAGGTAAGTTAAATGTATCTTCTAAGATAAGGAAGAACAATTTTCATGAGCCGATTAATGTAAAAGGTGATCAGTGCTTCAAAATAAGTAATTCTCATTGTTGTCTTCCTTTGTAGCCAAAACCTAGAATCCACAGAAGGACCTTACTCAAGAGATTAAAAGGTTTTAAATAGAAAATAATAACTATAATTGTATTATTAAAGGTAGGTATACTTGATATCCATTAGGTTTAGTTTCACGTCTGTGAAGTGGTGTCTCCATGTAAATAATGCACAGTAAGCGAGGGACACTCACATTGAGGTGAGACAAAAGCACTGCAATTTTAGAGGAAGCTATTTGATAACTTGTGAGATTTCTATTTCGATGCCACAGTCCTGATGGAGAATTAGAAAGCTTTAAAAGAATTACCTGCAAAAGACAGCTGATGCCCGCTTTCTAATGGCCCTCTTGTGAGCCCTGGTTACGAGGGTGAAGATGGAAGCAGCAAGGCACCCGCAGAGAGGGCCGCGAGGCGAGTGTAACTGGCAATCCTCGAGCACATCAATCACCCCACTGGCTGGCAGGGGGGCCGCGGAAGCCCCTGTGCAACAGACTTTAAGCCCATGTTATCTCTCGCTTTCCGGGCTGTGAATTCTGTATGAGCTTTATAAAGGCTGTGCTGATTATCCTTTCCTTGAAACCCAAAGAACCGTAACTCTATCCTCTGGAGGCCTATCTGTCACTTAAAAATGGATTTCTCAGTTTTGCTATTTTAGATGACTTTTAAAATAAGGTTGCCAGGAGTGGTCTCATGACAATTTTCTTCTCCAGTAGAAACCAGTGTATTTCCTGAGAACAGTTGTTTTTGCATATAATGATGTCACATTAGAAAAGACTGATAGACAGTAACAAAGCAAGCAGCATAGGCTTTTTCTTTTTCTTTAAATAATGTTCAAACAGTATTTTTTCCACTAAGATACTCTAGTATTTTAGTTGAAAGCTTAGTACTGTAACTTCAGGATGCTACCCACTAACTTTGCCATGCTGTCTCTTAGCTTCCTAGCTTCTGGAATTCATTGAACTTGAAGTACTTTACTATTTTGAGCAGAACATACCCCACAGTATTTCAACAGATGCATCTGTAAATGGAGTGAGGAACTACATTTTAAAAGTAAGTGTAATTTGAGACAAGTTTATCTTAGGACAGAAGAATCTTTTTCTTGTTTGGTTGGTTTCGTGAGAGTTTTTGGGGGTGGTTTGTTTTTTTTTTTTCTCTATTTTCTCCCCCTACTGTTCACATAAGCTGTATTTTCTTACTTAGGATTGCTCTGGCAAGTGCTCTATGGTAACAAAACCTGTGCTTTCCAGAAGATTTTAGGAAAGTGGACCATGGAATGGTTAGCAATCTATGTATGCTCCCCAGTGAATATGAATTTAAGATCACTTCAAATTCTTTTCCTGCTGGGCTAGTAGAAAGATTGAGAGAGGGAAAAGTTGAGTGAGGATGAGGAACATGAAGTCCTTGCATCGAGCCAAGTATTTGTGAAGACTAACAAAGCCAGGTGAGCCTGAATAAGCTAGCTGTGCTACTGCAGTAATGATAAGCAGCTAGATAATAGTCTGAAGGACTGAGGATGAATAGGAGACTCAGGATTGTGACGTGCGTACATACATTTAACAATTTTCTTCAGAAGGTAGTAGATTTTGCGGACCTCAAACTGGTGCTTGGTCAGTCTTCCCATCGTGTTTGCATTTGCTACTGCAAAAAGCAGTGTCCTAAAATTTATCATGCAGAAAAATACAGTCTTAAAAAAGTTTCCCAAAGAGTACTACATCCCAATAGCATTAATTTACATGACCTTCTAATCTACATATTGTCGTAAAAGTCATGCCGTCCATGACTTTGATCTCCATAAAACCTAGCAAGCTTTTGCTAAGTCTGTCCTAATATGACAAACAAGGAGAATATTGTTTGCTTGTGTATTTCTAAATTACTATATAATAATGGTGAAGACTCAATTTGTGCTTGCTCCAGGAAGCTGTGGACACCTGAAACTGAACAGTGAAAGTCACAGTAATGGCCTGTCTTTTCTGTTCGCTGGGCTTGGAGGACGTTGAAAGTCACAGTAATGGCCTGTCTTTTCTGTTTGCTGGGCTTGGAGGACGTTGAAGGGTGCTGGTGGTGGTATTTCTGAATATTGACTCGCTAATTTTAAGACATTTCATCCATCCTCCGCTCTCTGAAAGTATCAGGGGACAGTAGGGCATACACCGTGTCCTCCTCCTTTGCTTTCCTGAACGCAAGGACATGTTTAGAAAACACAGGTCTGAAATAAGGTAACTTCCGTTTAAAGGAAATGTGTTAGCTTAAGAGAATTGTGGACCGAGGTTATGGAGATGCAATGGATTTTGCAGAAATGAGATGCAGCTTGTGGTTTGTGGTTTAACAGGGCATCCAGGCATGCACGTGGTCACTTAGCGTGGAAAGCGTAGTTGCTTAGGTGACAGAAATCGCCTAGTTTTGGGTTGCTTTTTATTAAGAGGAACAGTAGCTTGCCTTTCAAAATGTACTAAAGTTAATTCCCCCAGAGTCAATCCATCTCTTCAGTAGCACACAAGAGAGATACAGGTTGCAGTAGCATTTTTACTGTTTTGTTGCAGTTCGACTGTTTGTAATGGTAGTGTTGCTAGCCGAACAAACTGTTTAATTGAAGTCCTTTCTTTGCTTCTGATGGGTTGCAAATCCTACTGGTTTCAGACACATTAAGGAACGCTTGACTGCACCATCTACAAGTGGAATATAGCCCTAGATTTAGGGGAAGGTGACTCATTGAGCGTACTTTTTTGTTTTAGTGGTACAGTAAAATTCAATTATTGTATGTATTTTCTTGTATGTTACTGGTCTTGGCAGAATTATAACCACAGAGGACTGTACTTTTTTCACCAGCTGTGTTCTGTATCTGCTGGTACAACTCATTTATCAAAAAGCCTTTCTGGTTTCCTTTCACATTTGATACGTAGGAGGTCTCCACTTTGTCTGCTGGCTCTTTGTCAGGATCCTAACTGAAACATTTTAAATAAGCTTTCAAGTTTGATGGTAATTTGCACGAGGTTTGCATAAGTGTTCTTAGTCTTCATTAGTCAGTGCCTGAAACTCAAATATTTGTCTCTCTGATAGTACTCCTGCCTTTACCTTTGCACCCCTTTCCAGCCTGGATTTCAGAGGCCGGTTTCGGCGCGCAGAAGCTGCCTAGGCTTAGTTAATCGAAACTACCGTTAAACAAACTCGCTGTTTCCACAGGGGTTGCTCTCACTGAAGGAGTCGGCAAATGCTGATGGACAAGCAAGCTTTTGAGAGAGAGAGGGTATGTGGTCACTTTGTTTTGCTAGGCCACGTCAACCGCAGCAAGAGATGGCTGACGAAGCAAGACACCCTTTCTCATAGGAGGAATTTGCAGGTCTCCGTGGCTCTGGTCAGATGAAGCGGTCAGAAGAGGAACTGCCCGAGTGTTTCGGCAGCCTCAGATTTTAGTGCTGCAAAACCGGTTACAGTCGGCAGACTGGGGTCTGGTGGTTCTCCTGGTTACCATTCCCAGAGAATGGGTTATCTGAAAATGCGCTAAGACATTTGTGTGAGTAATTCCCAAGTTTCTATTGATATTTCTTTGCAGTAGCGGCAGGGGGAGGCTAGAGCCGCTCTCTGGTCTGGTTTAGAGGAGGCTGTTGAGCAGCTGAATAGCAGTTGCAAAGTCTGCATAAGCCTGGACCAGCCAGGAGTTAAGGACTGGTGAAAAGCCATTAGCAGAGGTCTGATGGTGGTGGCATGGATGGCAGCAGCAGCAGCTTCAGCAGGCTCTGGGCTGAGGACCAGTTTTGTAAGTTGATTAATCGAGGGTCCAGTCGCTGCCTGTCTCCCCTGGGGAGGCAGAGGGGACTGGAGGACAGCACCGCCTCCCGCGGTAAAACAAAAACAAGCAAGAAAACCCCAGCAAAACAAACCAACCAACCAACCCCCGCACCTCCCGGCAGCGACG